AATATATATAAAAATAAATATATTCATACCTTTCTTTTCATTTCATTTACTCCTACTTACTAAAGCTAAGTCAAATTTTATATAATCGAATGTATTCAAATTATAACGAGTGGTAGTTTATGAAGTCTACAGCATTTGTCTATATATCTTTTTTGAAGTAACAATATGGTTAGAAAATAATTTTCTTCAGAGATAAGTCTCAGGTTGAATATCACAAACCGTAACTAAGTACTGAAGATCAGTTTCTTGGTTTGGTATTTCTCATCAGTACAAATTAACGAGATCACTTTGACCAGAGTAAAAAATCATGTTTCATGGCGAATACACTACTATTCCGTTGTCGAGTCCACACCTTAGTGGTTTATATTAACTTCGCTTTTGTATAAATTGAAATGTTGACTAGACTTATTTAAATAAAAGACTATTCATTATCAGGTTAGAGAAACAATTCTCAATATCAACTGCACTATGTATTACAGTCCAGCTGGATTACACTATGTTATTGCACATTGACCACTGAGATACTAACATAGTGCTGCACCAAACTGCCCTTCTCATAAACGCCATCTATATTTTTTACCGTTAACTTGAGGATATACCCAACCTAAGAAGATAATTATGTAGTAGAATAAAAGCTAACATAAGGAAAAAAACATCTAAACTATGATATACGCTTCACTAGATGAATGTATGAATTTCAAGAAGCATTTCAAAAATAAAAACATACTAAATATGCTATACATCTGCATTGTTATTAAAGATTTTGTAACCTTGCTGAACTATAACTGTAGTATAGAGCTTACAAAACGAAGAATCTGATACTGAATGACCCTTTTTTTATCAAAAATTTTCTTTTTCTAGTAAAGATTGGTGATTTGATAATGTCGTTGAAGTGTATTGAATGTTTACAGAGAATCGTCAAGTTATTAAGCAAACAAACTGTATGTATTTTTGTCACGTGAAAAATTATTATCAGGAGTTTGTGGAGATTTTAGAAATTTCACATATTGAAATCATGAGTTAATTGAACCTAAACCACCATGGAAAACGTGGAAGCATTGGACGTCCTAGTATGGGACTCCTCAGCAGTGCGCATCCACGATCTCTCACCCCACGAGATTCGAACCCAGGACCTATCACTGAGGTATCAACTCACTGAAGACAATGGTATACGGTAGCGCAACTTCGTGGATTGGTTAAATTTATACATTAACACCATTGGATCCTGGCTCAGTGGTCTAGTTGGTTAAGCGCTTGGCACGAGACTGATAGGTCCTGGGTTTAAATCTCGCGAGGTGCGGGATCGTGGATACGCGTTGCTGAGGAGTACCATACTAGGACGAAACGGCCGTCCAATGCTTCCAGGTTTTCCATGGTGGTCTAGCTTCAATTGACTCATGATTTCAATCTGTGAAATTTCTAAAAAAAAATGTTGCCAATTTATAACAATGAAATTCAGTTATTTTTATTCAACTTTTTAAAAATCAATTGTCTCAAAATATCAAGTATGCACATTAATTAGTATACGTAGAGTCAATTTTTTTCATAAGCTCTTTATGTAACCCTAACGTGTACATACATATAAACATACTATCTGAATGCCAAACATACAATAATCAACACTGGTTATTCAAAAGTAAATATAAATAACTAAGATGATAGGTCATATAACATGTTTGTCAAACATTTTTACAACTAACCACTGGCATTGACTGTTGTGTCAGTAACTAGATGTGATAAATGTTATTTCTTATAAGTAATGAACATAGATTTTCAGTAGTAAATAATTTTTTCATCCTCAATAAGATATAAGCTAGGACTATCTATCTATCTATCTATCTATCTATCTATCTATCTATCTATCTATCTATCTATCTATCTATCTATCTATCTATCTATCTATCTATCTATCTATCTATCTATCTATCTATCTATCTATCTATCTATCTATCTATCTATCTATCTATCTATCTATCTATCTATCTATCTATCTATCTATCTATCTATCTATCTATCTATCTATCTATCTATCTATCTATCTATCTATCTATCTATCTATCTATCTATCTATCTATCTATCTATCTATCTATCTATCTATCTATCTATCTATCTATCTATCTATCTATCTATCTATCTATCTATCTATCTATCTATCTATCTATCTATCTATCTATCTATCTATCTATCTATCTATCTATCTATCTATCTATCTATCTATCTATCTATCTATCTATCTATCTATCTATCTATCTATCTATCTATCTATCTATCTATCTATCTATCTATCTATCTATCTATCTATCTATCTATCTATCTATCTATCTATCTATCTATCTATCTATCTATCTATCTATCTATCTATCTATCTATCTATCTATCTATCTATCTATCTATCTATCTATCTATCTATCTATCTATCTATCTATCTATCTATCTATCTATCTATCTATCTATCTATCTATCTATCTATCTATCTATCTATCTATCTATCTATCTATCTATCTATCTATCTATCTATCTATCTATCTATCTATCTATCTATCTATCTATCTATCTATCTATCTATCTATCTATCTATCTATCTATCTATCTATCTATCTATCTATCTATCTATCTATCTATCTATCTATCTATCTATCTATCTGTCTATATATATATATATATATATATATATATATATATATATATATATATCACCGCCATTCTTGACTTCAAGTTTACTATAACCTCATAATGGCATGAATCTTATTAAGTTTTAAATGATTTATTAACTTAACCTGACTTAGATAATAAAAAATTGTATGATGAATGTGGTCGATTCAAGTTGATAATTTGATTTTCATATTAGACTTTTTTATTTTTGTGATAATTGAAATAAAACTTACACATGGTTCTTCAAAACTATTTAAAATACCATTTATCATTAGTTGAAATTTAGTTTTAGGTATTGTGTTTATTGATTGCTTCAAAATAAGGATAAACTTCCCTCGATGATTCTTTAAAAATTGTGCAGTAATTTTTAGTTGATATTGGCTTACTTAAAGATTGTTTTGACTTGAAAAGTATACGAGACGTTAACATTTTAGTAAAAGGAAGAACTCTCTTCCAGTGTAGCAGTAGTCTCTGCATCAGTAGGCCTCAATATACACAAGGGGAAAACCAAGGTTCTCAAATTCAAAACGGAGAACAGCACTCCAATCACTCTTGATGGCGAAACTCTGGAAGATGTAGAATCCTTCACATACATGGGAAGCATCATCGATGAACAGGGAGGTTCAGATGCAGACTTAAAGGCAAGGATTGGCAAAGCAAGGACAGCATTCCTATAATTGAAGAACATATGGAACTCAAAACAACTTTCAACCAATATCAAAGTGAGAATCTTCAATATGAACGTCAAGACAGTTCTACTGTACGGAGCTGAAACTTGGAGAACTACTACAACCACTATCAAACATGTACAAGTATTTATAAATAGTTGTCTACGCAAGATACTCAACATCCATTGGCCGGATACTATCAGCAACAGCCTTTTGTGGGAGAGAACAAACCAGCTTCCAGCTGAATTAGAAATTATGAAAAGACGATGGGAATGGATAGGACATACATTACGGAAATCATTAAACTGCATCACGAGACAAGCTCTAACTTGGAATCATGAAGGGAAGCGTGAAAGAGGAAGGCGAAAGAACACATTACGTCGAGAAATAGAAACAGATATGAGAAGGGTGAATAACAACTGGGGAAGAGCTAGAAAGGATTGCCCATTACAGGGTTGGATGAAGAATGCTGGTGAGTGGCGTATGCTCCTCCACGATGAGTAACAGGCGTAAGTACGTAAGAACTCTCTTGACAAATAAATATAATTTGCTGATTAGTTATAAGTGAATAGAAAGCTGAACTCATAAAAAACATGATCTGGTGCTTTATTAATATTTATTGAATTTAGATTCGCTTACAAAACACATCGTCACTGGATAATGTGATTTCTTAGTGTTTGATACCAGTTCTTTGATGTTTTTGAAGTTATTTTTGAAGAAAAAACTTCATTCAAGTGAAGTCTCTCTGACAAACGATGCGAATAGAAAAATCAAGTGTGAAGATACAAGTTTTTGATAATATATCGTTATATTAATAAAACAAACATGAATCATTATGTCAACTTTGATATAAATATATATCAAACATTTTAGAAACTGTTTCACGTGAAGCTCTACGGTCGTTAAATACTTCCGCTTTTATATGAAGCATTACTAGTCTAATGACATCATGTGTATAATCCGAATATTTCATGATACTATTATTAATATTATTTAGGGAATGTTACCTTAGCTATTAAAATATAGCAAACCATAGATACAAAAAATATATTGATTAATTGTATCTAAATTCAACCTATTTTTTTCAATAGCTGAAATCATGTGTCAATTGAAGCTAGACCAACATGGAAAACTTGGAAGCACTGAACGATCGTTTTGTTCTATTGTGGGACTCCTCAGCAGTGTGCATCCACGATCCTACCTCGTGGGATTCGAACCTAGGACCTATCATTCTCGCTCGCGAGCACTTAATTATAAGGTCACTGAGCCGGTATCCAACGATATTAATGTTTAACTTTAATTCACGAAATTTAGTGTGTATAACTTGAAATTTTTCATCTTACTGATCTCTGAACTCTATTGTAAATTCTATTTGGGTTCAAAAAAATGTTTTACAACATTTTTTTATAATTTTATTTAAATAGAAATTCTATTCATTTTTCAATATTTGAAATTCATTATTCATTCATATGTGATGTTTAGTTAAATACATTCGATTTTAATGAATTATGATTGGTTTAATCCATTGAAAATATTTAACTGTACTACATCATTATAAACCAGTAATATTTTAGAATTCATGACATTTTATGAAATTCCTGTCTAATGATTGGTTATATTTATCTTTTGATTATAATGCATCTATTTATTTGACTTTACAAAATAAGAACACTTATTACATATATATATATATATATGTATATTATAATACGCTTATAGTTATCAGCGTATTAGTTGCTTTGTAGTATTTACTATTTAGTGGCGTAGTTATTCCATGCTTCTAATTGTTGTGTAAATAGATTTAACTAATTTCATCATTATTCATAACAATTGTTATAACTAACACGTGCTGGGATTTGTAAATTCTTTAAATTAAATTCATTTTGGGAACTTAATATTATCAAACTTTAAAAAATATATATATATTTATCTGAAATGACTCTTAATCGTCCGAAACCAAGTGCTAGTCCATCAGATGATTCAGCTGTTGGTGATATGAATAGTAATGGAACAAGTACAACAAGTAGTAGTAATGGTGAAGCATTATGTCCGGAAACTACTTCAACGACAACAACAGAAAGTTTAACTGAATCATATACAAAACTAGCACTAACTAAACGACAAACATCTCTTGTCATAGAATCTACCGCCGATTCAAATGATCCAGGGTAAGTTCATAGATTGTTAGTATTATTGTATAGAATTTACCAAAAGTAATTTTTTTTTCATTGAATTCGAAAACAAGATTGCTGAATTCATGTTTCATGTGTATTTTAATTTAGGGATTGAAAGGTTATTTCTTTCATTCTAAATTGTCAGTATAATGCATGAATCCTGGTATTCAGAGAAACCTGAGTCAAATTCAAACTTATTAACTATTGTAATATTTATTGATTCTATCCAATATGCAATTGATACTCAACTACATTATGTTTACATCATCCAGGTATGGTAGAAATACGATTAACTTGTACAATTTTATAAGGGGTTTAAGTTATATTTTTCATTCCAAATCTATTATATGACAAGGAATAATGAGTATAGGATTAAAACTTTAATGACCATTTGAACACACCTCCATTACATAAAAATTGTGTATAGTTTTATGAATATAAATAAGTCCTTTAAAAAATCTTTACATATTAAATCCTTAAAAAATATGGATAATTTCGAAACTTATTTGACTAGATTCTATGTAATTGTATCTGCTTCGTTCAATCATATAATTTATTACTATTACGCAATCTCTAGACAAAAGTATATCATTAAATTACTTGAATAGTAAATTTTCTTTGTAATTATGATCCAATAAACATGATATTGTTGCTAAAGTATCAGAATATGTTTATTTTAATTAGATTTCTAGTAATTGTCATTACACTTGAATCAATGAATCATATATAATGGTGGAAAATATAGGCTTCATAATTGATAAGAGACTACAATGATATTGGTTAAAAGTGATCTTAACAACATGGTTGCATCTATTTTATGTCTCACTCTACCTTGAAATTAATGCTCTCATACTTTTCATTATTCGATTCTGCTTATTTCTTTTGATTTATAGTTTTTGTGCTTGGATTTCCAGTTCTGTTAAAAATATAGTTTCATACTTTGTTAAATTCTACTATACTTAAGAATGGCAGTGGAAATTCCAAAATAGTTTACGGTTGTTTAATAATTTTATGGTCAGAGAAATTATATAAAAATGAATTAGAACGTTGATGTCATGTGTAGACAGAATCGATAGCTTATTTATCGAAATATCACTGTTACAATGGGACAGTTCATGGTTTAGATAAAATTCTACAAGCTTGGTAAATGAGAAAATGGATACTGAGATGCTCTTTATATTCATGACTAGTATAGTCATGTTGGTTAGTTGAATTCGTTTGGGATTTAGTTTTGACTGTTCACTTTTATTAGTAATAGAAATTTGACAGTTAACGAAATTACATTCAGCAAGTAATATATCAAATACAATCTTATCGTATAATTTTATCGGTGATTTTCCACAACCAGCACATGTTTGATTAACGGAATACACATCATTGTGTGACGCTGAAAACATTGTTTTCGACTCCGTTATTACGGTTTTCTTGAAAGTTTACAGGGTTATATTAGGACGGTAATGTGATTCATTGTAAAGTCTAGCACACTTTTTCGAAAAAAATAATTATACAATCTTATAAATGTGACATATGACATCATTTTAATATATTGAATTTAGGTCAATAAGAAGTTAAATATCTTGAATCGCAAAACTTGAAAGCTGTCATGGTTATTAAACGTTATGATTGTAATGTGAACACTCAAAATAGTTGATAATCCCAATGTCAAAACGAATTATCCTGTACATATGCTGAACTATTTATGCTTATTCTCATTAATTATGTTTGATGACCGGATATGAGAAATTTGAAAAATTGTAAGCTGTTAGATTGAGTCCGTCAAAACCACAACTGTGGTCTATCGACGATTAACAAATTAAATGAGAGTCTATTGTTCAAATAATGTTTTCCTGTTTAAATCACTCTTTTAAATGATCTGGATGATGTTTTACCGATTATATGACTTAGTAATACAAGTTAATAGTTTATTTTTTGGAGTATTTGGGGTACGGAATCATAATTATGTTGAAATGACAGGTGGATGATAAGATTTATTTGGTTCTTCATAGATTGAATGGCCACTGTAAACATGACGAACGATTTCGATAATATTTATTGATCTATAATTTTAAACCTTGCATAGAGATTATTATTTTGTTCGGTAGATAAACTTTGTAGCTTCAAATCTCAGATAATAGTGAGTAGTTAAAGCCGCATTAGAATTCAGAAGCAAAAATAACTATTTTGCATTGATCCAATAAATGGACATGAAAAGATTTGATGCTGATTGGAATAACGTTGAATACAGTGGATCTAATAATTGAGGTAGAATAATATGATAACACTAACACTAATAAATTCTCTTCAGGTTCTACAATTATATAGCCAAATTAATAGTCTAAACAGTGGCCAGGTTTAAGACAAAGTACAACGTTTATAGTAATGACATGTAAATTTAGGATTGTAAAATAAATGGAAATCGAATGTTGAGATGACTAATATGCGGTGTTAAACGTGAATCAACTTATACGTTGAATGAAGTTATGAGATTCATGTTCAGAATAAATATGGATCAGATAGAGTGAGAAAAATAATAATACAATTACAAATTCGACCAAATGTTTAGTGGAAGACTATATTGTTTAATAAGTTATATGAAAGTAGTAAAAAAATAATAAATCGGAGTGCTAAGTAGGTTACCGGTAAGGAGATTTGTGGAGATTGTAGTATTTTCACAGTTGAAATTATGAGTCGATTTAAACTAGACCAAAACCGAAAGCCTGGAAGCACATGATGGCCATTTTGTACTAATATGAGACTACTCAACAGTGCCCATCCATGATCCCTCACGCGGAGCTTGAAGCCAGAGTCTTCGGTTTCGCCTGCAAACGCCCAACATCTAGATCATTGGAACCGGCATCCAACGGTGCTAATGTCTAACTTTAATCATGCCATGATCTTTGGCGACCCTTTATCAATTGCCTGAGGTGGATATCTCTCTCATATCTGACAGTGACCGACTGATCACGGCTTCTCACAAGAACTCCGGCAGTTCCATATTGAGGTTAGGTTAATCATGTATTCGTTAGGTTATTAGTGATGTTAGAGCAATGATAATGATAATAATACAAATATATGTGAAAAAAGATGACAAAGATGTTTATATTTGACTAAAAAGGCTGTAAGTACTTTGGTCAAATTAGGTCATTCAGCAGTTAAGAATACTATTGATTAATTGGCCCTGAAGTTGGCCAAAGTCAGAGAAGCTGTTGAAGATTTTTTCAATCCGAATGGCCACGGATCCTTCCATTTGAAACTCTTTGGTAAAAAAAACTGTGACCCGATAAATGATTGATAATGGTTGGCTTATACTAGTACTATGACCAGTTCTCGCTAAGTGGAACAATATAGATTTGTTTACTTTCTTCACTAGACCTTTTCTCAGCTACTGTGGGAGGTGTTTTTGAGCACGAACGTGGGAATTACTAGAACTTCAACCAATATAACTTGCTACCCAATAGCAGTCGAAATGATAAACACAAACAGAGTGTTCATTCTAAGTAAATCATCTTTTGGCCTCTGTGTCACCATTGGGCACGTAGAGAACACTAGTCGTAGTTTCTGGCGTTGAATATTTTTTTATTATACGTAATCTGTGAATTAATATTTCATTGGCTCCATCCTCTCTGAATTGCAAGGGCATGAACAGGGATTTTTGATTCACTGTTTGTATTTTGTCTATCCTAACCTTCGTGACCATGTATTTATTTATAAACTTTCCAACGTATCCATTCGTCCTAAATATGTTCTTCTCGAACTATATACGTAAAAAATGTAGTAAGTATTCGATAACTATGAGTTTTGATCACTGTTTTTCTTGTACTGTAGAGGTATAGAGCTAAGGAAATGTGTGCACTACCTTAAATATAATATGAGTTCGTTTTTCTCATAGCTTCCTTTCAGCAGCTGAAATTCGTGTTGAAATATAATATAAAATGAAAGAATAGACCTTTAACTGCATCTACCGATTTGTATATACGTGCTAAACACATACATTGAGAAAACCAAGTGAAGAGTACAAGTTTATATTTTCAAATTCATAAACAATTTGAAATCTCAGACAAAAATTGATAACCATCATATAACTGACATTCGTCAGTCTTCAAAGACTACTTATTTACGCTTCATTAACGGAGTAGCAATTAAAAAAATACAAACTGAATTAAAATGTTCAAAAAGAAACAGTTATCAATTTATCACTGGCTAAAACAACAAAAATTAATGTAGTAGAATAATATGGATTGACTAACTGGGTACCAATCACATAAGAAGTGAAAATTAATAGTTATTATCATAGAACGAAACAAATATGAATGAGATCAGTTAGTCAATTGTTTAAGAGTTACATAACTATAACAGTAATATCTCATCTCCAGATTATTCTGCTTCTATTTTCTTAGTTCTGTATTCTAGAATATTCTTATATTCAACATACAGATATCTTTTACAGTTATTCCATATTTACTGACCTCTTCATTGATATTCATTGATGAGAACTTTTCTGATATCATGATAGTAAGTATATAAGCTGGCTTTACAGTGATTAGTACTGTCATGTTTAGATTGTAACCATCTGATGACGAACCGCGAAATGTAATAAATTTGTGTTATTCTGTTATATTATTTGTTCTTGCTCCAATCCAATTCTTCACTCATTTAATGGATTCCCAAATCATAATAAAATCTCTATTTATGATTATTACTATTATTAATTATAGTTATTGTTGTTATACACTCTCTGCTAATTTTTTTCCTTTACCTGCTTCAAAACTGTCAATTCCTTCGTTAGTATTTTTCCTTTGAGTAGTTCTCTAACATCTTGTAAACTCGTTAAACCTATAATCATTACTAAATCTATTTTATCAGCTCTCGGATTCCGTATAATTAGTGGTTAAACTCAACTATATTTCTTATTTCCATTTTCCGATGAATTTATACACGCTTATTGACAAACATAATAACGATAATCGTTATTAATTAAACTTTTTCTCGTCACC